TTATGTTTTGGTTGAAATCACAAATAGGGAGGAAGATGAATTTTGAGTTATTCGGAAGAAATAGTGGTCTTGATTATCACGTTTTAAACAAGACATATTGTTGTGATATATATATATATATCTAGACATTATCAAAATTTGATTGATCTTGCTTGATGGATATTGAACTAGTTAGGATCAAATTGAATGCAAAAATATTGTGCTTGCTAATCAAATTTTGATCATTGTTGAAACTGGTGATTTTGGGTTTATGTGAGATAAGTTTTTCCGAATGGATTGAGACTATCTTTTGATACATAGACTGTTTGCATAATGGTTTAGGTGTATATGACTAAACTGAGAATATGCAATTGGTGAGGAATCGGGAACCAATTGGTTCATATCTCCGGTTTCTTTATTGGTTGTGCAATACATTATGCTTATGCTTAAGTGGGAGAATCGTATGTTCGAATGTAAGCATAAGGCTAAGAGTATTTAGGCCAACCATTATAATTCATTTGGATGCTTAAAACCAGTTTATGGTTTTATTGAAGCAATTATTATATCGGTTAGCATTCAAAAGGAAATAAATTTGGTTTCCATATGGATTTTGATTAGTCATTCATTGTATTGGAATGATTTTTTTTGTTAATATAGTTGCTATTAACTTGTACTTAACTTGGTTGTGTTAAGTATGGCCTAGATAAGTGGGAGCAAATTGGTTTGGTTTTGCTATATTGGTTCACATAATTACAAAGTGCAAATTAAGTATGTTGTGACTTTTGAGTTAATTTTGCGATGTAACAGGAAAGATTCTTAAGTTCAATACTTTAAAATACGTAGGTAAGTTGTAAGTGAGGTTAAGCTTTTGTTATCCAAAAGATTTGGTGATATGATAAAGCTGTTGATTGATATAATTGTGCTATTCATACAATTATGAATAATTTTATGTTGACGGCCTTCTGTCAAGAATGTTTGGTATTTTTTTATATCAATTTTGGGCTATATGAGTGAAAGTAGACGTCTTGGTTTACTCTTAAGCTTAGATACATTGCTATGAGCATGAACTTGATATTGTGATTTGTAATTTAAATCTGTATTTTGTGTTGCAGAGGCAATTATAAATTCATTGTTTTGGTTTATGTAAGCTGGTTGTGTCTATGTACTAGTGTGTTGAAGAATGACTTATGTGATCACCTTTATATTGAATTTGAGATGATTATTCACTGTTATGAATTATACTCAAGTAGGAGAATGTTAGAGTATGAGTGTGATTCATACGGTTTGGTAATAATCCTTATTGTCTTAGATTGCTATAAAGAAGTCTTAATATGTTTATGATAGTACTTTGGTTTGGATTTAAACTCTGTGTTGATAAGCTTAAGAATAGAAGTTCAATCCCGTTTATGATAATTCATTTTGATGTTTGGGGACCATCTAAAGCTGCTACACTTGGTGGTGCTCATTGGTTTGTTACTTTTATTGATGACTACACACGTATGACTTGAGTTTGTTTGATGAAGTTCAAAAATGAAGTTACTTCTTTGTTTCAACAGTTTTACAAAATGGTATAAGTAAAATATAAGTCACAAATACAGGTTCTCAAGACTGACATTGGCGTCGAATATGTAAACTCTAAACTTCGTGCCTTTCTTGATCATCATGGTATTGTTCATCAAACTACATGTCCATGTACTCTACAACAAAATGGTGTTGCAAAATGCAAGAATCGTCAGCTTTTAGAGGTTGTTCCTGCGTCTTTGCTCGATGTGCGTCTCCCGTGATCCTTTTGGGGAGAGGCTCTCACCTCAGCTGCATATCTCATGAATCGTGTTCCATCCCGATCAGTTGACTTTCAAACACCGTTCCAGACTCTCTATTCATCTGTTGATGCTCCTACATTTCCTAATATTCCACCTCACGTGTTTGGCTGTATGGCATTTGTTCATCTTCATAAACAATAGAGAAGTAAGCTTGAACCTCGGGTCTTACGGTGTGTGTTTGTAGAGTATGCCTCAAATCAAAAGGAGTATCATTGTTATCACCCTCTGATGAAAAAATTGTTTGTCACTATGGATGTTGTGTTTCATGAGAATGATATGTACTTTGCCAATTCCGAGTCTTCACTTCAGGGGGAGAATCAGATAGAAGTTCAAACTCTGGATTATACTGTTCCAGATATAGATAGTGTGAATGATTTGGATTTAAGTGGTGATGTCTTGGAAATAAGTGGTGATCATTCACACGAAAACAATGATGTGAATGAATTGGAACTAAGTGGTAATGTCTTGGAGACAAATGGTGATCATTCACATGGAAACAATGTTGAAAACTTTGAAAATGACGACTCGACATCGCCAGATAACTCATTGCCTAATAGCTCACTGCCAAGTTTCCACACCAATGGACAATCATGTGTCGCCAGCTACCTCACAGTCAATCTTGAGTCCCAATAACCATAATCAATCGTCTTCAATCCCAGATGCACCACCATCACGTCGTCTTCTTGATTACGTTAACCGAGGTATTCCTAAACTTACTTATGAAGCTAACCCTAAATGCAAAACTAGGTATCCGGTGAGTAAGCTTAACCCTGAGTCTATTGTGTTATACCCGTTAAGTAATTATGTGCCTACCAGTCACCTATCAGAATCAAATAAGTCATTTGTGCATCAATTATCTATTGTATCTATTCCTAACAATGTGCAGGAAGCTTTAGCTGATACATGTTGGAAAGTAGCAATGAATGAAGAGTTGGAAGTCTTTAAAGAAGAATGCTACCTGGGAAATCACAAACTTGCCAGCTGGTAGGAAACCTGTGGGATGCAAATGAGTTTATACGATGAAGTACAAAGCTGATGGGATAATGGATCACTTCAAGGCAAGACTAGTAGCAAAAGGATACACTCAAAAATATGGAATTGATTATACATATACATTTGCTCATGTGGCTAAGATCAATATAGTCCATGTTTTGTTGTCCTTGGTTGTAAATCTTAATTGGTCATTACATGTGAAGAATGCCTTCTTGCATGGGGATTTGACAGAAGAGATTTACATGGAACTCTCACCAGGGAGTAACATTCGAAATATGCATAGACAAAAGGTGTGCAAGCTTTGAAAATCATTATATGGGTTAAAGCAGTCTCCAAGAGCGTGGTTCGGTAGATTTACCAAGTCTATGAGAGCATTTGGATATAAGCAAAGTAACTATGATCACACGTTGTTCTTGAAACGTCGGAATGGAAAACTTACATCACTCATTATATATGTGGATGACATGGTAGTTACCGGTAATGATCCAGATGACTATGCAACCTTGCAGAAATATTTAAGTACATAATTCGAGATGAAGGATCTTGGGTCTCTGAAATATTTTCTCGGGATTGAGGTATCAATGAGCAAGTCAGGAATCTTCCTGTCATAGAGAAAGTATATTCTTGACCTATTAAAAGAAACTAGCATGTCAGCATGCAAACCCATGACTACTCTGTTGGCAGAAAGAATGAAGCTGAGCATTGATCTAAACCAAGTACCGGTAGATAAAGGGAGGTATCAACGGTTAGTGGGAAGATTAATGTATTTGGCACATATTAGACCAGACCTTGCTCATGCCTTGAGTGTTGTTAGTCAATACATGTATGATCCAAGAGAACAACACATGAATGCAATTATGAGAATATTGAGTTATTTGAAAGGAAGTCCGGGGAAAGGGATTTTATTTAAGAAGAATGATCATTTTAGTATTAAAGATTATACGGATGCTGATTGGGGCGGTTCGAGTGATGATAGAAGCTCAGCATCAGGTTACTTCACCTTTGTTGGTGGAAATCTGGTTACTTGGAGAAGCAAGAAACAGGGCGTAGTAGCAAGGTCAAGCGCAGAAGCAGAATACAGAAGTACGACCCTTGGTATTCGTGAGATTTATGGCTTAAACTACTACTACAAGATTTGGGTGTCAAACATAGTCAACCGATGAAGTTATTTTGTGATAATAAGGTTGCTTGCGATATTGCTCTTAATCCGGTGCAACATGATAAAACTAAACATGTGGAGCTTGACAAGTTCTTTATTAAAGAAAATCTAGATGGTAAAATAATTGAAGTGCCTCCAATCAGAACAGAAGATTAAATAGCTGACATTCTCACCAAAGCAGTTTCTAGTGAAAAGTTCTCTAAGTTTCTAGACAAGTTAGACATGTGTAACATATATGCACCAGCTTGAGGGGGAGTGTTGACTTGTATAGTTTCCTATAATTTAGGATTTCCTAGTTTATGATGGATCCCGTGTAATCTGGAAGAAATCTCTTTGTAATCTCCTGTAATTATTCTTCCCTATTTGATTAGGATTAAGGCTGTATATTATAGCTCACCTTGAGATGAATGAAAATAACTTCAAAGCATTCTCTTCTCTGCTGATATCTGCGGGCGGTGTGATAACCGCGCTATGCTTCTATGCATATTATGGAAGCAAAAATTGGTAGGCATTTGTGGCTAAACTGGTCAGCATCTCTTGCATTGTATAGCCATCCATAGGCCATGCATTGTTTTTCTGTACAAAAGTATAGCAGAGAGAGTTTGCACATAGATTCGGTCATAGTTTGGATCATATTTTCGTTATCTTTTGTTTCGAAATTGGTAATCTCGGTGTTTGTATTTCCACAAAACTGGAGAAAAAATTGTAGTAGATGCAATGTGAAGACTTGAAACAAATATAAAGCTTATCTTTGTACTTTGGGGAGCTTTCTATTTTTCATAAATATATTACTTAGCTGAAATCTTTAAGTATGATTAGTAAACACTAAATAGCTTGTCCTCACATGAGACAGTTATTTTAACTTATAATAACAAATTTAAGAACGGCTGTCTTGAGATTATTATTATTTTTTAATCATGTTTCACATGTTTACATTAGTTTATGAATTGGACATTTTCAACATAAAATATAGCAAGTTGGGTTTTTATAGTCTATTTCTCTCTCTCTCCCATAAATCAAGAAAAATAAATAAAATCATATACTGCAAGTTGCTTCCAATAAATCAAGAAAAAAAAGTAAACAAATCATTTAAAGTGGTTGTATCTGGTGTCTGCACTGCATAGTGGTGCCCTCCAGTTAGTTCTTCTCTTTTACATGTAAGCAGCAACCAGCAATAACCCAATTTTTCATTACAGAAGTACCTTTCTGGGTTCGTTGAGAATGGTGGACAAGTCACAGATTCAAATCCCACTAGTTAAACTAGGTAGTCAGGGCTTGGAGGTAAGTGATTAAGGTTTTTTTTGTTGTCTCGTATTAGTTTCTGTCAAGTCAACTAATTACATAATCAATGGAAATTGGTCTTTATTTGTAGTGATTAATTAAGGAATTGGTAATTACTTAAAAGAAAAAAACTTACTATTAATTCATTTCTCCTCATTGGGTTTCATTTTTTTCCTGCACTGCAGGTTTCTAGACTGGGTTATGGATGTGGGGGACTATCTGGGACATACAATGGCAACAAAGCTCCGCTCTCTGATGAAGCTGGATGTACAATTATTAAGGAAGCATTTGATAGGGGCATCACCTTCTTTGATACTTCAGATCTTTACGGCCTTAATCATCACAACGAAATCTTGCTTGGAGCCGTAATATTCTTTCTTTATTTTTTTTCTTTCCATATTTGAATGAAAGATGAGATTTGATGAGCTCTAGCACTAAGACATGCCATCTAAAAGTGATAGAAGTTTGTTAGAAAAATACTTTTTAGATCATTTACTCTTCTTGTACTTTTAGGCTTTGAAACGGCTTCCTAGAGAGAAAGTTCAATTGGCTACAAAATTTGGCATTGCCATGTCAGGAAACTACGAATTTCGGGTGAATGGGAACCCGGAATATGTGAGGTCATGCTGTGAAGCTAGTCTTAAGCGGCTGGATGTCAGCTACATCGATCTCTACTATCAGCACCGCGTTGATGTTTCAGTGCCAATTGAGGATACTGTAAGCATCCAGAGGCTTTTTGCCGTTCCATTTTTCATCCTTTTTATCCAAATATCTTTATATGTTGATGGATATCTGTTTGGAACGAATTATCTTTTTGGGAGGAAAGATGGGGGAGCTTAAGAAGCTGGTAAATGAAGGAAAAATCCGATACATTGGTCTGTCAGAAGCTAGTGCTGACACAATAACTAGAGCTCATGCTGTTCATCCCATCACTGCTGTACAAATGGAATATTCTCTGTGGAGTCGTGAAATCGAAAATGAGATTATTCCCCTTTGCCGGTTTGTTACCTTTCACCTATCTGAGTTTTACAATGTCAAGTACCACAAGTTTATTTTCATAGCTAGGTGAAAATTGATGTTTACAAAATCTGAGGGGAAAAAAATAATATTAATCTGTATTTCACCTTACAGGAAACTTGGAATCGGGATAGTGTCATATAGTCCACTTGGTCGTGGATTCTTCGGTGGGAAGGCAATTGTAGAGAGCTTGCCTGAAGAGAGTTTGCTGGTATGTATGACTTCACTTGTATATAGAGATATAAATACACACGCACACACACACACGCACACGCACATATATATATATATATATATAGAGAGAGAGAGAGAGAGAGAGACCAACAAAAAAAAATGTATAGATACGTATTTATATCAACATAGCTTTGGGATACTTATTTTGTTAGAGCAATCACCCTTAACTCCGAACTCACATTATTGTGGTGGTGTCCCAGTATACACATCCGAGGTTCAATGGCGAGAATTTGGAAAAGAACAAACTACTGTATGGCAAATTTGCCAGCCTTGCAATACAGCATGCCTGCACTGCTCCTCAATTAGCTCTAGCATGGCTTCTCCATCAGGACAATTATAATGTCCCAATCCCTGGTATGATTACATCTTAATTAGTACTCTCTCTCTTAAACATAATGCTGTTCTCTTACTCTTTGTTATTGATTATGGATTTTAAACACTACAGACATTTCAAGTTAATCAAAAAATTAAAAAAAAAATACTTCAAGTTCGATTTTGATTATATGCAGGGACAACTCAAGTTAAGAACCTTGATATCAACATTGGATCGTTGAATGTGAAGCTTACGGATGAGGACTTGAAAGAAATTTCTGATGGTGTGCCCAGTGATGAAGTTGGTGGTGACCGAGAATTTGAACTTTTTGCAAAATATGTCTGGAACTATGCAAATACCCCATCAAAGTAATCAAGTTCTCTGTGCCAAAAATGAAAAAAGTAATCAAATTTATCTTTCTGGTTTGCATAATTGCACTTGCACCAGTGGAGATGGAGATCCCTCGGTCTCGCTTCTTTTCGTGTTTCTTTTGTTTTTGGCAAGTTTGTATGTCTTCTGCTTCATCTTCTTCAAGTAATTAACTTTTAACCCTGATTATATGATCTATATATATATATATATATATATATATATCAATCGGTCATCGTTTGCTAGTTCTATTTGCGCCAATCTCCTTGTCTTTTTTTTCTTAAGTCAATCTATCTCCTTACGTTATGTCTCCTCTATGAAAGGTGGGGTTTTTCCTCTGAATATAATGCCCTTGCCGTTATGTTTCTTATCAACCTACCCCATCCAAATCGAACTTTTTCTATCAAAATTTCATCTTAGGGATCTAACAAGCTTGAATGCATTAATACGATGATCTTATGGTTTAGAACTGAACATAATTTGAATAGGAAATTCGATTTGGACTGAAGTTGAATATGCCCACTTGGATGATTCATTCAATTCCACCTAACAGAGCATTTCAATGATCAATGCTCTCGCCATTCGTTTCTCAGCAGTAGTTATGCAACAGCAGACCTGGAGTCGCCTCTTTTTAAGAAACAGTGAAGTTGGTTGGTGAGAAATGAGAAGTGAACATGTTAGCGGCCGGAACACATACGTGAGGGCATCTCCAACCGATGGCTGGCCAGAGAGCTCGTTTTAGCCGTCCTCCACGATTCTCCAAGATATTAATATTTTAATGAACAGTACAGGGTCATATTTGCCTCCATCTCCAACCGAGGGCCAAAGGGCCAGAGGGCTCGTTTTAGCCTTGTCACAAAAACCCGTCTCCAACCGAGGGCCAAATATAATTTATTATTTAAACTACAACTTAAATGTTGTTTAAGTTTCATGTTGTTAAATGTTTTTTTTTTTTATGTTGTATAATTTTTATGTTGGTTAATGTTATTAATATTGTTTAATGTTGTTTCATGTTACTTAATTTAATTTAATGTTGTATAATGACTTTGTTTAATGCTGTTTCATGTTACTTAATTTAATTTAATGTTGTATAATGGCTTAGGAGGTTATAGAAAAAAAATAGAATTAAAAAAAATATGAAACAAATTTTGTGAAATAGAAGTTATAGGAAAAAATGAAATTTAAAAAAAAATATGAAACAAATTTGTAAAAAAAAAGTTATAGGAAAAAATAGAATTAAAAAATATATGAAACATAGAAGTTATAGGAAAATTTTTGTAAATAAAAAAAAAAAAAGTTAAAAAAATATTCAAAGAATTCCTATTGGTTATAACCGATAGGAAATCCAACATAAGCAAAAAAAAATTGGCCAACCCCGGGCTGGCTGGCTGGTTGCATGCAGCCAGCCCTCTAGCCCTGTCCGATTCCGTGGGGCCCTCTCAGATTCCAGAGCTCTCTGGCCTAGCCCTCGGTTGGAGACGGTTTTTGGGCTATTTTCGACCCTCTGGCCCTCTAGACCTTTCGGTTGGAGATGGCCTGAGCTAGTTTATCATTTAAGAACAGCGTCCAACTGTGCTTTGGAAGTACTATTTTCATTACATTGTTTAATTAGTTTGTTCAATAAGCGAAACTTTCTTTTCTTTTCGTCTCATTTTTTCCTCTGTAACTGAATATTTTTTAAGGATTACAAACAACACAAATCATTGGGTGAAACATCGTATGTAATTTTCATGCCCCAATTCTACTCTGTACTTGTAATTTTCAATTAAGAACAAAACTAAAGATTCTTCTACAAAAATTGGACAGAACACAATATTCTTACGAGTGCCTTGTAATCAATATATTATGATAAATAAAATAAAAATGAAATTGTAATAGAATATAAGTAATACATCAAAATTGGGAAGAAAACAAGAAATAATTAGAATATCAAAATTAATTAATAAATAAAATAATTAATATACTAAGCGACTAAAATTAAATTTGGATTTTACTCTTGATTTTAATAACAAAGTCAAGTTTCGATTTAAATTACACCGGACCCCTTGCTCAACAGATCAAAGAGGTGTATGCCCCAAAAATATAAGATAAAAAAGAAAGGGAAGACCTTGAACAAATCTGACCTCAGAAATTACTGACTGCTACATAGTGGTGTCTGCAGACGCCACGTCTCTCTTTCCACCATGTGTCGACAACAAAATCCACGTGGCCAGTTAATAGTGGGAAAGGCAATTGAATGACGCCGTGCCAAAATATCAACCGCTCATGAGCCTCCCCCACTTTGGCCGTTGCACTATAAAACGCCACTCAAGGCATGCGAAATTAGTACACGAACTTCTTCAAACTAATTAAGCATTCAAAAGTTTCCAATCTCCTCTGTGTTGATCTTTGATTAGGTTTTTTTAGTAGTATTACATAATATGGCTGCATCAGCTTCCATGCAATCACTTCTAGCTAACTCAGTGGTTTATGGAGCTGGAAAGAGCAGATCAGCGAGAGTCATCCACCTTGTTCCTGCTAATAGGTACCGCCACATGGTCGTACGCTCCATGGCCGAGGTAATTAGTAATTAATTCTTCAATTAACATCTGAATACTATATTGTACAATATCCTATCTATTCACGTACGAAGTTAATTTGATTAATTTTCTTTGATTTGCAGAATGGTCAGGAGGAGCAATCGTCTTCTACAATACCAGAGGCATCCAAAACCCCACCACCACCTCGTACACCTACTCCTTCTCCTCCTCCTCCCAAGAAGGTTAGCACTAAGTTTTCAGATGTGTTTGCATTCAGTGGGCCAGCTCCGGAGAGAATCAACGGCAGACTTGCAATGGTAGGGTTTGTTTCAGCTCTGGCAGTGGAACTGTCCAAGGGCCAGGATGTGTTTACTCAGATCTCCGATGGTGGAGTTTCGTTGTTCCTTGCCACTAGTATCTTGCTCTCAGTCGCATCCGTGATTCCTCTTTTCAAAGGAGTCAGCGTGGAGTCGAAATCAAACGGGATCATGACGTCTGATGCCGAGCTCTGGAATGGAAGGTTGGCTATGTTAGGTTTGGTTGCTTTGGCCTTCACCGAGTATGTGAAGGGAGGGACTCTTGTTTGATCAGGTCCTAATTAATACGGGTGTTATGTAACTTAATTATTCCTTGGAATAGCTTTCCGCATATGTAATTAGTGTTTACCAATTTTTATAAGAATGTCAAATTTTCAACCCATAATCTAATCGATAATATTTGAGAGAAAATTTGCAAATTAAATTATTTTACTAATAAAAATAAATACATTAATTGATATTTATTTAATAAATTAATCAGTAATATTCATATTTGATTTGTAAATTTAATTTGAAATTTTAGTTTTATTTTTATTTTTGTGGACGTTGTATCATTGGGTATAAAGATAATATTATCAATATGTTTGAATGAGAAAATTTAAGATTACTTAGTTATAATAACAGAAGTTTATTATCTAGAATTTGTGAATTTTTTTCTTTAATTAACTTAGAAGAACAATAAAATTAAAACAGAATTTGTTACTTTTATTTTCATGGAAATTTAAAAATGACATATTTACATGAAAATTAAACTTGAGACTTGGAAGTTCCAAACCTAAGTTTTTTTTACGCGAAAATTTTAAATTTTTATGTGTGAAAATTTAAATAATAAATTTTGTACATGTTAATTTATAAATTTTGATTTTTAATAAAATTTCAAGTAATTTTTTTTATCATTTAAACATAATGTAAGGCTCTCGCTTAATTTTGGGAAATTAATTTTGGTAGAAATTTGTCTATCAAAAATCGAATGTGGATGAAAAAAGCAAAATACATATTTCCTATGAGTTTCAATATTACTTTTTCTTGACAAGTTAATTAATAGTGACTTAGAAAAGTCCTACCATTATATGTTAGGAAACAGATTCTCTTGGGATTTTTTCCATTAAGACCATCAGATTTAGTAATCTAGACTTTTAAAATTTCATTAAACGACTAAAAATTATTATAACTTTTAAGAAATCAAAACAGATAAATCGTTGAATGAAATTTTAAAAGTTTGGATCACTTGATCCGATGATCTGATGAAATCCGAAAAGGATCTCTTTCCGTATGTTAAAGGCCAGTTTGCGTCAAGAATCGTCAATAATACGGTTTTCAAAAAAGGAATCGCCAATAATATTGTTACATTTGTGTGACTAATGTATAGACCTAAAAATTATTGATCCGCATGGCAACAGCACATGGGCATCTAAAGAGTACTACTGGAGTGAACGTGACATTGACCTAACACTCAAAGAGACAGCTCATGGTCATGTACAAAGTACTGGTGTGATGTTGGCCTAATTGCCTTCTCTTTGTTATTATCCTACTCCTATCATCAAAGAGGGTTGTGGAAAGTTTGAGTAATTGTGACGAGTTTTAGTATGTAGACAAGGAAATAAAGAGAAAATTGTAGTACTAATTTTTTAATTTTAATTCAATTAAAGTAATGGTTTTTCTATTAAAATTCATAATTATTGATCCCTTAACTCATCAAAATTTGTAAATATGGTCATTTTCTTCAACCCAGTCAGAATTTTGTTAAAATAAAGTATGTTAGAAGGACTATTACGGTGGTACCAATCAATGTAATATAGAAATATGTCACATTAGCTCTCTCTCACCAAAATCCATGAAACTAATAAAATCAAAGCTAAAAAATGCGATACCAGCTGACATCCCTTAGTTAAACTTTTATGTCTGCAACTCGTTACATCGTAAAATTTGAACGTAATTCCTTCTGTTGTGCATGCAACTTGTGCCTTGCTGCAATATTACACTGAAAATATAAATAAATAAAAAGAAAGGAAGAAGACAGAAATTTAACGGGACCTCAGAATCCCAGCTGACTGAGACGATGTGGTGTGTGCAGGGAGCCACGTCCCTACCCTAACATACCACCGATTATGCCCACAATGCTGTCGTTGCTATCAAACAAATGTAATTGTATGCAAGTGCAACTGACTGTATGTGAATAAGCAAGGTAGTATCCAAGTATTTCGTATATACGTACATAATCATCCAACTTTTTCTGACGAAAATGAAGCAAAAGATTCGTTGACAAAGGGCAATTCTGTCTGCTCCTACAAATGTCCTCTAGCTAAAATTAAGCTTCAAAAGTGCTCCTCGACCAAAAAAAAAAAAAATGCTTCAAAAGTGCTCGCGTGGCCCCGTGAAACATCGGTCCTCCTTCTCAAAAGATCAAATAAAGTGAAGAACATGTGACATTTAATTTGAATCACATGGCCACTAGTAATGTAACGTTGTGATCAGTAAGTCAGCCACATTTTTTATTCAACAAAGAGAAACTTACATGTAACAAATTGTATATAATATATCTTTTTTAGTTTGTTAACATGATGAATTCTTCTTATGTGATGAGTCATGAAAGGAGAGGGTGATCTTAGAATTGCCCACCAGTAACTTTGTGGTACACTGGTATATGCTTCAGCCATGTCTCATTTCACACGGAAACGAGTTGTATATATACGATACACTTTTGAGTGATTTGACTTAACTCTCCTCATGTGACGAGTCAGGAAAGGAGTGAGAAAGATGCAAGACTTTTACTATGTTATTTCCTTTCCGTTTGGACAGACAGCCGACTTGCCCATTATCACAAAGAAATCAATTCAGCAACATGATGCCAAACTACACACCGATGGCCGCTTAAGAGCTTCCCCCTTCCTATAAAAATAAGGTTACGGTCTTTTGTGTGGCATGGTTCAAAGCGTGTTTTGTTTGTTCTGAATAATAATAGTCATTGGATTATTGGTGATAGGATGTCAATTTCCTTTTGGTTCGACAAATGGTTAGATGACCCGATTATTAGCGCTTCATTATCTTTGGTCATTTCACCTATAGTTCTTCCTTGAGTTTCAAATGTTATTAAAGCTCAAAATTGATCTTTTGCCATTTTGTAGATTTATTCCTTTTTGTGGTGCAATAGATTTATATTTACCTTTACCTTTAAATGTAGAGGATGATAAATTGATCTGGTAGCCCTCGCCTAATGGGAACTTTTCTTTTTCTTCTGGTTGTCATCTTATTCGAAGAAAACATAGCGACTACGATTGGGCTAAGGTTATTTGGCAACATTTTATTCCGCTCGACTATCAATTTTGGCTTGGCAACCTTTTAATAATAACATTTCTAACGAGGGTGCCCTACAACAACGTGGTATTTCTTTGGCATCTATTTCTTGTTTATGTCATAATTCTGAGGAATCAACTGTTCATTTTTTACTTTGGATGTTAGATATTTAGGCAACTTTGGGGTTGGTTAGCATGTCAATTTGGACCTCTTTGTCTTTTTCATATTCTTGGCTGTTTTTTATTTTTTTTATTTTTTTTTATTTTTTTTAATTTTTTTTATGTTTACGTATGTAAACCCTTTTCCCAACAATTGCATAATCCTTGGATTTTACAAGTCTTTGTACTATTTTTGTGACATCCCGTCCCGAAACTAATGAAACGTATGTGTGAATTTACGATTTCACCCCCTAGTTCGTTACTTTACGTGTAGTTCTGTGTGGTGTGGTGTTGTAGGACCACACACACACTCATACACCCTGTCATCATTCCCTCTCCCTTTTTCTTTTCCCTAATTCCCTCTTCCCTGTCTCTTCACTGTCTCTCTCTTCTCTCTCTCTCCCTGAGCTCCCTTCTTCTTCATCTTCTTCCTTCAACACACGGCCAAACCTCAAAACCACCCAAACCATCACTCTCCGAGGAAACCAACTACACCATTGAACTCGTGAAGCTGAGAGGAGTCCAGTGGTGCCATTTTCAGGTGAGAAATCTTACGTTTTCACGTCGATTCGACAATGGCCGATTTGTACACTATTCATGCAAACTTAATCTAGTTAGTTTTTGGACATTTTAAGCTTGTAGATGTGTTAGTGAGGTCCCAAGGAGCTTGGGAGTGCTTCGTTGGGTGAATTTGGACGTCGGGAAAGCTTGGTTCAAAGTTGGACGAACTTGGATCGTTGTTGCAGGTATAATTCCTTGATTTTTAGGCCTTAAAACTAGTCTAACGTGATTCTACTAGTCCTAAGCTTCATTTTGGTATAAAGAACGTGAAAAATGGTTGAAAAACGAGTGAGAAAACAAAGTTTGAAAATTTTGCAGTTTTCCGGCGGCGGCGGCGGTGGCTCGCCGGAGAAGACAGGAGAATATTCCGTTAAGTTTAACGAAATATTCCTAACGGCAGTGACGGCGTCAGTTAGGGAATATTCTGTCAGTCCAACGGAATATTCCTGACGGCGTCAGTTGACGCCGTCAGTGTGCGTGGCACGTGACCGCGCGTGGGGGGCGCGTGGGTCCGTGCGTAATCAGGCGCGTGGGGGCGCGTGCGTGGTCCAAAAATTATTTTAAAAATATGGGTGTGATCCTGAGGTTGTGTAGATCACGTTGGTATATTCATTTGTCCATTTTGAGCAATGTATGAGAAATTATTACGAAAAGTTGGTTATGTGCGTTTAAATTAACGTTTTCGTAGCTTTTTCGCGTATAGGTGATACGTATTCCGAGGACGAGCGTATTCACTCGAGACAGGGGGGCTACGACCCTTCCACTTATCAATGAGTGAGCTTTTGTTTTCCGTATATACCTATATACTTTTAAATTCCCAGAAATAGAATAAAAAGAGTTAATTGATTTATGCCATGCACTTTATTATTATCGCTTATGCATCATCACATGCATTAGTAGCGGCATACATTTATATATTTGTATTTGGTGCTGTGGACGCACAGGTAAGTGCCAGGTAAGTGGTTTCATGTTGTTATGCAGTTGTAGTTTGAGATGCTTAGAGAGCTCATTATCTGCACCCCGGTGTTAGTGCTCCCGCCCGTGGCCAGGGCATAGCCTTCACGTGTATGTTCACCTCCCGCACCACATGCTCAGCTTGGATCCAGGTTAGGTGCACAGCCTGTCGTACAGACCACATTAGGTGGTTCCGACTCGTAGGTGACCCGCGATTTATCGCACAGCTTCACGTGATTGTAGCACTAGAGCGTATATATATTACACCAAGCCTGTCGTACAGACCACGTTAGGTGGTTCCGACTCGTGTGCAGATTCGGTTAGTGAGTTGAGATTGGAGCTCTATATGCCGCCGTACAGGTCACGTTAGGTGACTCCCGGCTGCTAGATTATATGTTATTGATAGGAGTT